TTGGGATTGCTCTACATACTTTCATGTGCCTTCTATGATCTTTTTTTCCTTCTCAGATTTAGAGTTTTCCTTAATACTAGTTGTCTTCTTGCAAATGGACTGTCATCAGGATAGCTCAATGGCCAAAGACGGCACTCTGGAATTCCAAATGCCCCAAAATTGTAAGAATTTTCTTCACGTCAGATGCATATAATCCCAAAGTCCCTTATTTTCAAACTCTTTCTGCTATTTTTTCTCAAAGTCTCTTATATCTGTGTTTTCTTTGTACCCCACTCTTGTCTTCTCATAGATTATATTTTACTCTCTGCTTGTTCTTGTGCCTTTTTCTGACCACTGAAATAATTTTACAGAGATTCGAATATCTTTGCACTATGGATAATAATAAATACTGTTTTATTTTGATGTATTTGATAAAGAAGTTGGCTATGTGTTTTAGCCCACTCCCTCCAGACCTGAGCATGATGCTTACAAGTTTCATTCAAATCTGTTCTGTGTCAGATATACCAGAATCTATAATAAGGAGAAGGAGAACAAAAAGTAAAATATACCATATGCTTAAAAATAACTAAAAACCAAAATGTTTGCAATAGTTATTATGGCTGCTAATCTTATTCCCTCTCTTATATCAATAAAACTTTTGATAAAGTATTGGTCTTAAGATTTGTAAGACTATTTTCTAATGCTTATATAGCTATGAATTTGTGAATTCATTGAGTGTAGTTTAAAAATCTGTAAAATCTGAAACAAAAAGTCAGGTTAAAATTTGTAACAGAAAAACTTTAGAGTTAAAAAATATAGAATATGCTTATTTGTCACTTGAATTCAACTCTTGTTTAGAAAAATGGATACGACACAGCAAACTTCACATGTCATTTGATTTAATTCTTGTTTGTTGAGAAAGGAACTTGCTAGCAGCAAAAGTTTGAAGACGACTTATGATTCCTAAGGTTTAAGAGCCTATTTACCATAATAGAAACTGCTTTAAAGATGTACCCTTTTTGAATTTGATATCTTTGGCGATTTGAATAAAATATGTCACATAAGAAACTGATATTCTGTAAAGTTACACTATGAATGATCATGAAGTTGTGTTCCCAGACTTGCTATGGACTATATTTTTTGTTTAAGATTTTATTTTGTTGCCAAAGGATCCTTTTTTTTTTTCTTTTGGTTTTTCGAAGGAGTGTTTTTCTGTGTAGCTTTGGTACCTTTTCTGAAACGAGCTCTTGTAGACCATGCTGACCTTGAACTCACAGAGTTCCAACTGCCTCTGTCTCCCTAGTGCTGGGATTAAAGTCATGTACCACCACTGCCCAGCAAGGAACTTCAATTAAATGTTCAATTCATAATTATAAGGCTCACTTAACAAGGATGAAACTGTAAATTCTATTCTTATAAAAGCTACCAACTTGTTGCAAACTATAGAAGATAATTAAAACATGCAAGCTAATGGTCAGTCACTTTATAAATGATCGACTTCTTTACCATGCTCAGAACCTTGTTTTGGTCATGATGAGTACAAATGTATTTCATTTACAGAGGGACAAGCTTTAGCCTTCTGCTTATGCTATCAATGACAAGTCTGGAACAAGTAGCTAAAAAGAAGTAAAGTTTGTTTAAAATCAGATATAGTTAATAAATTAGATGATATCCCTCAAACCCCTCAGAGAGATCTGCTGAACATGGCATTTAAGGTACTTAATAAAAAGACTTCACCTTATAAACAAAAATACCAGCTTCCGTAATCAGTCGCCACAAATACCACGGAAAAAACAGACTCCACTTGAATATTACCTCAGCTGTGCAAATGCTGACCACTGGGCCAAAAGCTGGCACATGTATCACCTACCACCTGGTCCCTGCAGAAACTGTGAACACTGTCATGTTGAATGCCCCACTCTGCCTTGGCAAGTAGGTCAGTTTCCTCAAGTTCCTCCACAAAAACATTTCTCAAATCTCATGAGTCTGGTGGTTGAAGGCTGAGATGCTGTCCTGTGTGGCAACCAAAGTCCAATGGTGTCTCATGTGACATCTAAACATAACAATCTCTGCTCTTAATAAAGACATTGAAATCATAAGAAGGATCCCAACTGGTTGCCCCAGTATCAGCTAAGTCTCTATCATTTTCACTGATACAGAGGCAATTTAGATTATATTTCCTGCTCACATTTATCCTTCCCAGATATCTGACGGTGGTGATAGCAAGTTTCAGCTTTATACGTTTAGCAGCAGCAAGCAATCCTACTCAGCTCCTCCCAACAAGGATGCAGTTGCATGGTCAGTCCATATCATATGCAAAAGTCAGGTCTTGTTATATTCTACGGCGATCAGGTCATCTGCTGAAAAAGGCAGACTCACAGACAGGGTTACCTTTCTGACAGGGCTAACACTGAAAAAGATAATCTCACAAACAGGTTAAACATAAAACAAAGAAAACCAGTCCACAAATCACAATTCCAGAGAACCTAGACAACAGTGAGGACACTAAGAGAGACATACACGGATCTAATCTACATGGGTAGTAGAAAAAGACAAAATCTCCTGAGTAAATTTGGAGCATGGGGACCTTGGGAGAGGATTGAAAGTGAGGGGAGAGGCAGGGAGGAAAACAGAGAAAAATGTAGATCTCAATAAATATTAATAAAAAAAGAAAACCAAACTGAAACTATCAGGCTATTACTAGAAACAAACATACATTTTACTATTTTTTTAAATAATGATTTTTTAGTTTCATTAAGATATAACTGACAAAGAAAAATTGTAGAATTTAGAAAATACAACTTTGGAGTATAGAACGGTGGTCATCAGAGATGCAGAGATGTGGCAGGAAGGCATGGCTGAGGTTTGGGGAAATAAGAAATGTCAATGAAGGTCACAGAAACTTTTAGTTCTAATATGAATGAGTTACAGAGAGCCTAGCTAATAGTGTTGTACCTATAGTTCACAATAATGTATTGGCTATTTGAAATCTGTTAATGAAGTAGATACTAAGCCCTATCATTTTACTATTTTTTAGTGTAAAGAACCTCCTTTTGAATTATTGCTTCCATAAGTCAACCATATTAGTCTTCTGGTAAAAGATTGGATGGAAAAAAGTTTGATGTTGTTGATAGTTTTGAGGTTCTAGGGAAGTGATTTAAAGAAGGTAAATGAAAATTGCAAAGGTGTGTTTAACTTATCTAAGGTATATGAAAATGTGACTTAAAGATTCAAACATATATAGTTTATCATATTAATCAGTGGAGTTCTGATTAGCTATTAATCTAGCCTCGGTAAAGTACTATCTACTATTTTCATAGGCAATGAGCAAAATTTTTAATTTTCTTTCATTGTTTTCTAAATAAGACTTAAAATTGCCTCTCATTGTGCTGAATACTTATCTGATATACATAGATAAAATCTGGACAGAGGAAACAGGGAAAGAGTGTTCATATTTGTATCCCCCTTTGAATCACCAAGCTTTTGATATGACACTAAATCATGAGTCTATAATAGCTATAAATAGACACTGGCTAACTGCTTCTTCTACAATAAGGTTTTAGTATAGATTACAAAGAATGGAAATATTAGTATATCTTAGTCTTTCATCTTTATCTGTAAACTAAGACAAATTAATGTAAGATTCACTGAGTTGTGACTTGAATTCACCTATGACACATCAGACAGATAAGTACTGCTGTCAGCTAACATTTAAAACTTTCCTGCCCACTGCTTCTCCCTGAGGATGGGCTTTCTCTCCTCCTGGTCTTGGAATTCCTTTCTTCTCCTGCTGTAGTGGGCTACTGAACTGTAGTCCTTCCATCCTGTGAGAGCATTCCTAAGAGTACTGTGTGTTCCAAATAAATCTAACATCTAGGAATTTTTTCATTCACATACTCCATAACACCACAAGTACCAGGAGTATAGGCCTGGAAGCCTGTTTCCTTCTTACAGAGCAATGAATAGATTGAACATTTAAGAAGAAACTTCTTAGTATAGGATCATACAAACCTATGATTGATGCTTAAAAGGTACTGTTAAAATTATAAAATCAAGCAAAAAGAAATACTAAACAGAAAGGCCAAATTATTACTGAAAAATATGTTAACTAACCAACAAATAAACTAAAAAAATTCAGAAAGATCGAATGTGAGATTAGTAGTTAAAAAGTAAAAAGATGGATGACAAAAAAAATAGAAACAAGTAATTGAATTCAACTGGGCATTGAGACAAATACAATACTGTACAGGAGAACATGGCTGAGAGGTGAAAAAAAAACAATATATATCAAAGGCTCAGTACCAAAAAAGTCAAATCCTGAAAGAAAATTGAGATTCTTGGGTAAGGAAGGAAGAGATAGACATGTTGGAAATACAATCAAGAAACTGTCAATAAAAACAAAGTCGGAAGTGACTCCAAAAGCACTGACTAGGCAGAAGACAGAGCATCAGGAATGAAGGATGCGATTTACAGACACTGCATTAAAATATCAATGAGAAATAAAAAAAGTCAGAAACATGATCACAATGCCAAAATCTTGAGATACTTAAAAAACTAATGCAAGGACATGTGGGATAGGAGATGCTAAGGTTTGCACTAAAGACATGGGGATTTAGCAGAAACCATCCTAGTCTATAGAAAGAAACATTCAAACACTACACATTCAGATTCCCAAAGATATGTGAGCAGGGTGCAACCTCTCTCAATCTGTGAAAATAATATAAGTCTTACTATGAACTCACAGCCTGGACAGACACAAAAGTTGGTCATTTTCCTCTTTGATCTCTACTTGACTAGAGAAATAAAGAAGAGGGGAGTAAAGGTCTGTAGAAGCAAAATGAACGAGAAAAGTTTGCAACTGATTTTCACATTTCTGTGCATACAGTTCATTATTTTTAAAGGAATTAGATGTGCACAGATGAGCATGCACTGTCATGGAGCTAGAACATCCTTATCACAGTGACACAAGTACTTACATTAAGTTTGAGAATAATCCTTAGCACAGTGGTACAAGTACTTACATTAAGCTTTCAGATAGTGGATTCTTTTTTTCCTCAAGAAATATCTGGATTTGCTTGGGTCCTTCTAGTGTGAAGTAAATGGGGATAAATGCACCTAGAATTAAGTCAGCCTTCATGTACGTGGTGGGCTTCCCATACTCAAAACACTTCTGAATAGTTATTTTCATTAAAGCACACATAGCTTGCAAGATTAGAAAGAGGCAAAGCAAAGAAAGAGACATGCCAGGGTCTGCACTACACAGAGAAAATGCCCTGCAACTAGGATGAGCCAAGAAGGCTATTGGCTAAGTTCATGAACAGGTTCAGACCTTGACAGTATCAGAGAAGACTCTGTTGGATACAGGTGGTTCCTGATGTTGCATAGTTTATGGTTCTCATGCAAGACAAGGACACAGATAGAAGAAAGTCCAGAAAATCGAGGTGAGAGTGTTGACATTCTCCTCTAAATAAATCAGAGTGAACAAGAATGCACTGGCATTTCTTGCTTTTCACTCTCATACATGTGCTCTGGGGATCACATTGCCCTGGGATTTTGCACCTGCATTCTCTATGCTGGAGAAAAACATGTTTGGTTCTTTCCTTATTTCCCTATCTCTATGATTTCATAATTATTCACAGTGACTTTGGAGAGCACCATAGCAATAGGCAGGATTATAGGTCAAGCTTGTTTGATTTGAATTGCTGTTTTGGAAGACACTTGGAAGTGTGAACAGATAAGAGACAAAGCAATAGCTGAACTCCACATTGCAAACACTTGCAATATTTCATACAATGCTTTCACATGAAGGTGAAGTGGTGACATTATGTTTAAATGTCTGCTATTCACAGGCACACTGACCTCATATCTATCCCGACTCTCTGATCTGTTCTCTCCTCCTTGTAGCAATGATTGTAAAGATGTAGAAATGAGTAATTACATTCCAGACAAGTACAGAAGATAATTTCTCACTTCATCGTTTCACAGTATTAAGGTTCCCAAGCAGTAATCTGTGTTCTGCTATTAAGTGCACACTGGTACAGCTCCTCCCAAGTACACTTGTAAAAAAATCATTAAATAGAATAATTCTTCATATCTATAATTCTTCTTTCCTGTAATACCACTTATCAGAAATAGTCTTTTATTTATTTATTTAATAAAAATAAAGCAAACTGTCTTTTCAATTTTACATACCAATCCCATTTCCCACTTCCTCTACTCCTCCCATTCCTTCCACCTTTCCCCCATACTACACTCCATCCACTCCTCAGAGAGAATAAGGCATATTGCTTTGTGGAAGGTCCAAAGCCCTCCCTACTATATGTAGGCCGAGCAAGGTATCCATTCCAAAGAGAATGGGTTCCAAAAAAACTGCAGAGTCAGATGGTTTTAGTGCAGAATTCTACCAGAACTGCAAAGAAGAGCTAATACCTATACTCCTCAAAGTGTTCCACATAATAGACAGGAACATTGATAAACTCTTTTTTATGAGACTGAAATTACCCTGACATCAATATGACAGAAATTCTTTTGTTCTAGGAATAATTTCATCATTTCATTATACACTACTGCTAATTATAATCCAGCATAAAACAAATCAATTTTTACTTTAATTTATTTTATAAATCTATCTTTTCTCATTTTACATGCCAAATACATTTTCCACTCCCTCTAATCTTCATGGTCCCTCCACTTTCCCCCCTGCCCACTCTTATCCCGCCCTCCATCCAGTCCTCAGAGGCAATAAGGCTCTCCATGGAGAGTCAACAAAGTCTAACACATTGAGGTAGGACCAAGGCCCTTCACACTGTATCTAGACTGAACAAGATATTCCTCCAGAAAGAATAGGTTCCAAAAAGCCAGAACAAGTAGTAGGGATAAATCCTGGTCTCACTGTCAGTGGCCCCACAGTCTGCCCAGCCATACAACTGTTATCCACATTCAGAAGGCCTAGTTTGTTCCTATGTAGGCTCCCTTGCTGTCAGGCCGCTATTGAAAGACTTCTACTAGCTCAGGTAAGCTGCTGCAGTGGGTAACCCCATCATGGTCTTGACGTCTTTGCTCATATTCTCACTCCTCCTTATTTTCAACTGGACTTTTTTTGTTCAGCCCTGTGCTCCGCTGTGGTTCTCTGCATCTGCCTCCATCAGTTGTTGGATGTAAATTCTTGGAAGACATTTAAGATATTCATCAATCTGACTGCAGGGCAAGGCCAGTTCAGGCACCATCTTTACTATTGGTTAGCTTCTCTGCGGTTGTGGAGCAAAGCCTTATCCATGGCTTTACAGCTAGTTTTCACCTGTGAGTGGGTCCATACCTTGTTCATCTTTTCTAGTCTGGGTTACCTCACTCAGGATGACTTTTTCTAGTTCCCTCCATTTTCTTGCAAATGATGTGTTCTTGGATACGATTTGCCAGTATTTAATTGAGTATTTTTGCATCAGTGTTCATGAATGAGATCGGTCTGTAATTCTCTTTCTTAGTAATATCTTTATTTGGTTTGGGTATCAGGGTAATTAATTATAGCCGCATAAAAGGAGTTTGACAATGTTCTTTCTGTTTCTATGGTATTGAACAACTTGAAAAGTATTGGTATTATTTCTACGTTGAAAATTTTGCAGAATTCTGAGCTGAAACAATCTGGTCCTGAGCTTTTTTGGTTTGGAGAATTTTGGCGACTGTTTCTATTTCTTTCGCCATTATAGGTCTCTTTAATTTGCTTATCTGGTCTTGATTTAATTTTGGTAAGTGATATTATTCCAGAGAGGTATCCATTTCTTTTAGTTTTACAACTTTGTAGAGTACAGGTTTTCAAAATATGACCTAATGATTCTTTGGATTTCTTTTTTTTGCTTTTTTTTAAGAAAGTAATTTTATTAAATTATAAAAGTCTCCATTTCCGCCCCTCCTCCCAACACCCTCCCACTCCCTCTCTTCCTCCCTCGCCATCCCTAAGAGCTGTCCTGCCCTGTGAGAAGTTCAAGTTCCTCCCCCTTCCCTCCAGGTCCAGGAAGGTAAGTGTTCAGACAGACTGGAGCCCCAAAATCCAGTATATGTAGAGGAAACAAGTCCCAGTGTCATTGTCAATGGCTTTTCAGATAGACTCCAGGCCGGCCACATTCAGAGAATCTGTTTGGATCGCATCCTCGTTCAGTCCCAGTCCAACTGGCCTTGGTAAACTCTCATTAGATCCATCCCCTTGTATCAGTGGGTGATCGCATCCCTCGCAGTTCTGATTTTCTTTTTATTTTCTTCCTTCTTCTGCTCCTCATTTGGACCTTGGGGGGCACAGTCCGGTGATTCAATGTGGGTCTCCGTCTGTATCGCCATCCATCTTCAGATGAAGGTTCCCTCTGGTCTTGCCTTCTTTGCTCAAGTTCTCTTTCCTTCTGCCTCTTGTTTGGACCTAGGGAGTTAAGTCCAGTGTTCCAATGAGGGTCTCTGTCTCTTACTCCATCCATCGGCAGATGAAGGTTCTATGGTGATCAGCAAAATATTCATCAGTATGGTTATGGGCCAAGGCAGTTTCAGGTACCCTCTCCTCTGCCCAGAGAACAATCTGAGGATCTCTCCTTGGACCTGGGATCCCATTTATAATCAAGTCTCCTGTAAAACCTAAAATGACTCTCTTAGTTGAAATATATTCTTCCCTGATCCCATATCCATCCTTCCTCCCTCCCCCCCATCCCAGTCCCCCGATCTTTCCCCATTCCTCCCCTACTCCCTTCTCTCTAACACTCTACCCTTCCAACAACCCTCACACACCCCCCATGCACCCGAGGTTACCTGGGACTCTTGTCTATTTCCAATCTCCAGGAGAATAGCTACATGATTTTCATCAGGTTCACCTTCTTATTTAGCTTCTCTAGGATCACGAATAATAGGCTCAAAGACCTTTAATTATGATTAGAATCCACTTATGAGTGAATACATACCATATTCCTCTTTTTGGGTCTGGCTTACCTCACTCAGTAAAGCGTTTTCTATTTCCATCCATTTGCATGCAAAATTTAAGATGTCATTGTTTTTTACCGCTGAGTAGAACTATAATGTGTATATGTTCCACAACTTTTTTAACCATTCTTCTACTGAGGGGCACCTAGGTTGTTTCCAGGTTCTGGCTATTAAAAATAGTGCTGCTATGAACATAGTTGAACAAATGCTTTTGTAGTATGTTAGGGCATCTCTTGGGTATATTCCCAAGAGTGGAATTGCTGGGTGCTGAGGGAGGTTGACTCCCAGTTTCCTGAGAAACCGCCACACTGATTTCCACAGTGACTGCACAAGCTTGCATTCCCACCAACAATGGATGAGTGTTCCCATCTCTCCACATTCTCTCCAGCATAGGCTATCATTGGTGTTTTTGAGTTTGACTATTCTGACAGGTGTAAGGGGATATCTCAAAGTTGTTTTGATTTGCATTTCCCTGATCACCAAGGAGGTTGAACATGACCTTAAGTGCCTTTTGGCCATTCGAAGTTCATCTGTTATGAATTCTCTGTTCAGTTTAGTACCCCATTTTTTAATTGGGTTAATTAGAGTTTTAGTTTCTAGTTTCTTGAGTTCTATGTATATTTTGGAGATAAGACCTTTGTCTGATGAGGGGTTGGTGAAGATCTTCTCCCAGTCCGAAGGTAGCCTTTTTGTCTTACTGACAGTGTCCTTTGCTTTACAGAAGCTTCTCAGTTTCAGTAGGTCCCATTTATTCACTGTATCTCTTTTTGTCTGAGCTCCTGGGGTTCTGTATAAGAAGTGGTCTCCTGTGCCTATATCTTGTAGACTACTTCCCACTTTCTCTTCTATCAGGTTCAAAGTGGTCGGATTAATATTGATGTCTTTAATTCATTTGTACCTGAGTTTTGTGCATGGTGATAGATATAGTTCTATTTTCATTCTTCTACAGGTTGGCATCCAGTTATGCCAGCACCATTTGTTAAAGATGCTTTCCTTCTTCATTGTATACCTTTATCTCCCTTGTCAAAATCAGGTGTTAATAAGTTTGTGGGTTAATTCCCGGGTCTTCTATTCGATTCCATAGGTCGACTTCTCTGTTGTTATGCCAATACCAAGCTGTTTTCAATACTGTTGCTCTGTACTAGAGTTTGAAGTCAGGGATGGTAATGCCTCCAGAAGTTCCTTTATTGTATAAGATTATTTTGGCTATCCTGGGTTTTTTGTTTTTCCATATAAACTTGATTATTGTTCTCTCAAGGTCTGTGAAGAAGTTTGATGGGATTTTGATGGGAATTGCATTGAA